GGCTGGCAATGTGTCGTGCACGGCTGTGCCGGCTTTGCACCCAAGTGTCAAGAGCCATCACAAAGCTCGGCCGGGTGGGCTTTCCAGTTGCTTTCCTTTTGCATAGCCTTTTCGAGCTGCGACAGGAGCAGTCCCGGAGAGAGAGGCAGACAGAAGTTGTCCAAGCACAACAGCAAGATGCAGAAGCTGCCCTAGAGAGGGCAAGGCGCGGCAGCGTTCCACCAAGTGTTGTAGAAGGTGATTTGAGCTTAATCACGCAGAAAAGACATGACGTAGCTTTGTCGCAAGCGGTTGGCACGCAACGGCTTGTTGATGAATTCCGGGCTTCCAGGCAGGATGTACAAAGCTTGCAGACTGCAGAGGCTACTGCAAAGGAAGAGCTTTACAGGCTGGGTATTGGGATCCCTTGCGAAGGGGTCTCGCAGTGAAGTTCCCTAAGCATGTCAGGCAGCAAGAGGCCTTACAGCGGCTGAGGATGCAGATGCGCCACCTTGGCCGCAGTTCGTTTCTGCTGCGGCTGGCTCCGCCCCCCCTTCCATAGAGCCATACAGGGCACAGGCGTCACAGGTGAGGGGCAGTTTGTGTGTGTGTGCGCGTGCATTTGGGTTGTGAAGTGGGTACCGATGTCCAAGATGCAAAGATTCCAATCAAAGTGCAGTGAGTGGAGCTCAGCGAGTGAGTCTGAGGTGAAACCCGCGATAGCCTGAGCCTGGTAACCAACGGCAACGAGCACCTCAAGGCCTTGGCCAAAGTTCAGTGTAGTTTGCGTTAGCGCTGGCTACATGGCCCCCAGGTGCAGTTGGCCGAGTTCCGCGCGCGTTCTCGCAGAGTTCAGCAGGAGGAGGCTTGGGAAGAGCCTTGCTCCATTTGGAATTTCACGATGCTGCTGATGATGATGATGATGATGATGATGAGGAGGACGATGATGGTGATGACGATGATGAGTGTAAGCGGAAGTCTGAGTGTGAGCATTTTTGTGTCTGTGTGTGTGTGTGTGTGTGTGTGTGTGTGTGTGTGCGTGTGTGTGTGTGTGTGTGTGTGTGTGTGTGTGTGTGTGTGTGTGTGTGTGTGTGTGTGTGTGTGTGTGTGTGTGTGTGTGTGTGTGTGTGTGTGTGTGTGTCTGTGTTTGTGTTTGTGTTTGTGTTTGTGTTTGTGTCTCTCTCTGTGTCTGTGTCTGTGTCTGCGTCTGCGTCTGCGTCTGCGTCTGCGTCTGCGTCTGCGTCTGCGTCTGCGTCTGCGTCTGCGTCTGCGTCTGCGCCGCGTCCGCGTCTGCGTCTGCGTCCGCGTCCGCGTCCGCGTCCGCGTCCGCGTCTGCGTCTGCGTCCGCGTCCGCGTCCGCGTCCGCGTCCGCGTCTGCGTCTGCGTCTGCGTCTGCGTCTGCGTCTGCGTCTGCGTCTGCGTCTGTGTCTGTGTCTGTGTCTGTGTCTGTGTCTGTGTGTTTGAGTATGTATGCATATGATACTGTTATATGTTTGTGTAGGTGTGGGCTGGGCAATTTCTTTCGCAGGAGGCGACCCGAAAGTCAGCGCATGTGGACGAACTGCTAGCATGGCAGAAAACGCACGAGGCGGGAGATGATTCAGAGCCACCACCATGCTTGCCTCGGCTAGCTGCAATTCTGACAACTTGGAATCTGAAAATATTCACTTGCATCCAAGCAACGCACCCCTTTGCAGCCTTGAAATGCAGATTTCCTTGGCATCCATGCTAAACACCTAACTATTACCTACTCTGTCACCCTAGCTTGCTTCGATTTGAATCATGACTCACAGGCCCCTCACCCCCCTGTTTATCTCACCCCTCTGAGCCCTTCCTCTCTCTCTTCAGCCCAGACTGGATGCCAGGCACGCCTGGTGGCGGCGCAGGACCAGGCGGCGGACCTGGAGCGGGAGATTGCCGCGCACCAGGCAGAGGCCACAGCCTGGCGGGAGCGGCCCCCTGGCACGTGGCAATGTGTGGCAAAGCTCAACTCCCGCGGTCCCCCCCTTCAAAGCTTCAAAGGAAGACAAGGTAGGTCAGCAAAAGCTCTTGGCCCAACCCTGGCGGATGCCCCAAGCACGTTTTGCTCAGGCACCGAGGGGCTTTAAGCATTGCATGCTGAAAGTTGTGCTTGAGCTTCAAGGATATTCGTCCCGTCTTACAGCACTGCTGTCTCCAGCCCAGGCTGGCAAGTACACAGCAAGAGGTGGAACAGTTGCAAGAAGAAATTCCTGCTTGGCGCGCCCAATGCCTGGAGCACAGAGTTGCAATGATGTGCGTGTTTCTCCAGTGTAGGAATCTTTCTGGAGATGGAGGCACACGCATACCCAAGAGCTTGAACATCAGATCTCAAGGCAGAGAAGGTTTGTCAAGGTAACAGGCTGCCAATGTGTGTTTCATGGTGCCACTGAGGCTCTGAAATTACAAGCAGTCGGCAGCATCTCCAGGATGCTGCCGTGAAAGAAGAGGAACTCTGGGCCGAAGAGCGCCTATCCCTCAAAAAGTCGCTGGAGCTGCTCCTGTTGCAGGCTTGTTACGTTTTTGGAGCAAGTGAAGGCTTGTCGTGGTTATGGTGGAGACGCCGGACCGTCCCACGTTCGGCAGGTTGAGCAACTGGAAGACTCTGCCCGGGCTGCTTCCGAGAAGGTGCTGGCCTGGGATCGCGCAGTGACAGGGGCCGTTGTGCAGTTCCCAGGCGGCACGCTCTGCTGAGGTGGCGGAAAGGGCAGAGGAAGCCGCCAATAAGCAGTGGCAGCAGAGCAGAGAGGTGGAGCGGTTGGAAGCCAAGTTGTGCCTAGGCTGCAGGGTTCATGTTACGCAAAGTGCACAACATGCCACCTCGCACTGCGCTCCTTGACCCGAGAATGTCCAAAGCCCGCAAGGCGTGAGGCCAAAGCAGAGCTCACAGATGCCAAGCGCAGATTGGCGGCCGAGAATGATGCGCTGCCCAGCCTCGAACCACGCGAGTTGCACAACCCCAGCTGTTCAAAGCTGACTTGAGCGAAGGCTGCCACAGCCTTAGAGCCAAGGCTGCAGAAGGTGTCAATGGAGCTGGAGCAGAAGAGCTGCGAAGCTTCTTTGGCGCGGCTGGATTGGGATGGCCGGCCTGAGCGGCAGGCCGCCAGCTTAATGCCTCACATGCCAACCCGTGCACGCTGCTTTCTTGGCCCAGCAGCGTCAAGTTGGAGCACAGATCGTTTTGCCGTGAGGCAACTTCCAGCGGCTTGCGGGATAAGGACACAAGACTCATGGCATAGTGAGTCTGGTGAGTGACTCCAAATTTGAGCAGGAGAGATGGGCCGAAGTGAGCCGCTTGCACCAGGAGTCAGGGCGGCAACGCGACCCGGCAGCATCGCTTCTAGTATTTCTAGTTATGCAGCACTTGGTGCAACTACTCGCTGCACACCAGGCTCCTGTTTGTGCGGTGTGTTTGTCGACAACCAAGCCAAAAAAATAATAATCTGGCTTTCAGCGGCACGACGTTGTGCACAATATGAACACTTTGGGCACTCGTATTGGCAAGCTCTGAGAGACGAGCTGCAGACCAAGGTGAGAGGCAAGCATTCCTTCGTCGGAGCCTTATCAATGTTGTATTTTCGGGAAATCATTGTGTCAAAGGTCAAGAGCTGGAACACGCACGCCTCCTGCTGGATGTGCCCACGAGACTTTGTTGCAAAGATTGCAGCCATTGGTCCGGCTGTTCAGTGAGACCTCAGAAAGGCTGGTTGCCGCTTGTATCACACCCGGGTAGTGCCTGTGGCCAAGCCACAGGAAGTAGTGCTTCAAGCCTTTCCCATTTTGCGATGAGTGCAGCCAGCTAAACACGCCACATTATCGATGTTTGGCTGTAGCTGACTATTTTGGATGCCTGAGGTCTGAGAAGTGGATCCATGAGGACGCACGAGCCGAGTTGCACTTCATATAGTGCTTCCTTTGCATTTGCAGTCGGTCTCCTTACAGGACACGTTGAGCAGTGCAGCCTACACAAGGCTGCCAGTGACCGGGGATGCAGCTTGGAGACATAGGTCTGCAATATTGAAGATGCATCGTTTCAGCCTCCACCTGTCTCCGCCTGCTCTTTCTTTGCCAGTGCCTTTGTGGTCTTGGCCGGTCCCATCGTTCAGACCATAGGGTAATGTGGAAGTGGATGCACCATTCGCGCATGATAAGGTGCAGTGGAAAGATGCCGGGGAGGATCATCGGTTGGCCGCTGGTCCGGTGAGCTATTTAGGTTTTTCAGCTGCATGCAAGCGGCGGCTGAGCAGCTTAGACCAAGGCCGTGGCCCAAGGCCAGACAAGGCTGAGTGCGGTTCTCGCAGAGAACGAGCGCCTGTGCCTTTGCTTGAACGTTCAGCTGACAGATTCCACGTTTCACGAAACTTGTGCAAGGCAAGAGTGAGTGTTGAAGGTAGGCGCAAGACAAGCGGCGGACTGCCACTTTGGTAATTTATTCCAGTCGCTATAGCGCATGCAAGTGAAGTGCAAGTGAAGTACATCCCATGAACTTCAGCCCCATGTGCCATGGCTTCAGCCCCAGTGCTTGTGACTGAGGAAACGCTTGGTTAGCCAAGTTGCCCACTCTCCGCTTCGGCAAGCGGGGCGCTTTGGCTATCAACCACTTGATGTTGCACTGGGTATTGCCAGTTTTTGGGGAGGGGATAGAGGCGCGCAAGGCGCAGGCGGCTGCAATCAAGAGATGCACTTAACTTAACCAGCCTCATGTGTGAGGAGCCCTAGATCTCCAAGCATCTACGAGCCAGTGACGCCTCAGTCAAGGTCAAGAAGATATTGACCCATGTAGGTTTCAGGAGAATTCGCGTAGTCATGCTGTGCCAGTAGGGGGGCGGGCGCAGTGTGTAGCGGCGCAAGAGGGGCTGCTGGACACAGGCCCTTGAAACTGCTCATTGGGCCTTTGCAGCCTCCGGGTGCCAGCCAAGCTGTCAATGAAAGCAATTTTAGATTAAAATATGCTGTGCAGAAGTCCTCTTAGTTAATCCAGGCATGGATTAACTGATCAGCAGGTCGGCGCGGGGAAGGGCGTGACCGGGGGAGCCAGCGAGAAGGCTGGCCGCACTAACTTGAAGCTGCATGCTGTGACACAGCCGCTGAGCTCTCCAGGCCGGGAGCGCACCGCTCGGAGCACGCGCGCTCCCCAGATCCGCAGTGAAGCACAGGGTGAGACTTGCTGAGCATCGAGTGGGGGGCAGACAACATGGCCGAACCTCTTCAAGTGCGGCACATTGCCTACATGCATTCGGACAACACACGGCCAGTTGGCACACGACGCTCTTTGTGCGTGTGTAGCGCCGCTGTCCTCAGACCATTGTGTTGATGTTTGTTCCCGCTGACTTTGCGTTTGTTGGAAACCCACCTCGAACCAACCCTGAACCAACCCGAGAATCTCCCAAGCCCATCCTAAACCCACTCTAAAGCAACCCTAAACCCTGCCTAAACAAACCCTAAACCCACCTAGAACCAATCCTAAGCCCACCCAAACCCTACCCTAAACTCGGCCGAAACCCACCCTGAACCCATCCGAACCTGAACCCAGCCCACACCTACACTAAACCCACCCCAAACCTACCCCAAACCCATTCTAAATCACCACCCAAACCCGGAAACCCTTCCTGAGTATTCTAAACCATCCCGAAACCCAGCCCAAACCGAAGCCCACGATAAACTTCCCTAAACCCACTCAGCTCAACCCACCCTAAACCACCCTAAATCCCCACCCTACTTCCACAACAAACTACCTTAAACCCTTTAAGGAAAAAGCTCACAAACCCCTTGTGAAAGTTCCCCTCACAAAGGGCGGCCTATTTCTTCTTCTTTTTTTGAAACATGTCATGCAGCGGTAGATTGCTCACCCTTTCCGGAAACATGTGCGGTCTATGGGGCGGGGGGGGGGGTCAGGGTCGGGGGTTGGGCGGGGGTCGGGTTCCATGCCGAAACACGACGATCGAAGACGTTTCCCCAAATTTCAACACGGTGACTTGCTAAAACGGCACTGACATTGAGAGTACCAATTAATTTTGAGGCCTATTTCTAGAGAGGCGTGAACGCATTGACATTTTGGGCCATGGCGGATGCAGTTCCAAACTTGTCAGCGTCACAGGAACAGCCAGGGATCATTGCGACGGGAATGCATGTGGACTCCGTCCAACAGTGCCCACGTAGAAGGGGCAAACCACCCGGCAGCGGCGACCTGATTGTAGGTGCTCGCTACTCGTAGGAGGGTTCACGGGTTGGAGATGTGCCATACATTTGCACCTCTTGTGGGCTGTGGGCTTGAGGCCCTACGACCCAGTGTTTCTTCCCTGCAATTCCCAATCTTGTTTCTGCTTGATCAATTGATCAACCCTTATGATGCTTTGGGCTTTGTAATTTTGCTTCATTGCTCTTGGTGCTGCTTCAGTTGCTAAATCCAGGTTGTCCTTCTGGTTGGCGAGGCTTTTAGCCTGACAAGTTCGGTTGTCACCAGGCTCAGAGGCTCAGAGCGTCCTTTTGTTTTCCCTTCAGTCGAATCTGGAGAGTGGGGGCGTTGGCAGACAGATTCAGCGCACCTTCAAGGAGAGGCTATTTCGGGCTTTCGTACAAGACGGGTACTTTTGCTCAATCTTTCAGGCACCGGGGAGATGTGCAACATGCGTAGTGGCTTTGATTCAACGTTCCCTCGGCACTCGGCATGGTGTACTCCCAGCTAGCGTCGACTTGTTGCTTATTCACCCTGGCTTGAATTCGGCTTTCTGGGCCAGCCGCAACATGTGTCCCTAGGCATGAGAGGGACAGAACCCGGGAAGCAGCCCTGAAGACTGCAAAAGCGCCGCATGGCCCAATGCAATTTTGATGATTTGGCCAGTGCATATGATACTTGAAATGTCGCACTGAGCGTCGACGAGAACAACTTGTTTGTTTTCGACGTCTACTTGTATGAATGCGGAACTTTCCTTCGTCAACTTTACCACAGCAGTTCCACCCAGGAAAGCCCATCCTACGAAGGCTGACAGCCAAAGAGGCTGGGGGCAGAAGGGCCATTGATGGGTTTGGCTTCAACGTCAGCAGACCGCAATGCTGAATTTCAGGCGCTCAAGCAAAGGCAGCCAGAAGCAACAACGATGGCACGAGAGGGCCAACTGGCGAAGATCCTGCGAGCACTGCTCATAAGCACAAGGACATGATCAGCTGCATGAATGTAACGCTACAGTGCAGTTGCATTCCAGCTATTTTACTTGGGGCTGCCCTATGATTGTAGCCACGCTGGGAACGCCAGAATTAGCGAGTCCCAAAAGCTCCGGCATTGCCTTGCAGCTGCAAGGAGAAGACCAGAGGTGGAGCCCAAACATCCCGCAAAGCTGTGGCAGCAAAAAATGCAGCCAGCGTCGCAGCATTCCAACTGGAAGCAATAATCCCCAAGCACTGACAGGGAGGTGGAACTGATCTATTTCGACTTCAGAGCGGGTCACTGAACTTGCTTGCCTAGGCTAAATGCCGGACAGACTCTCAACCGATGGGGGAGGCAATCCACACCAACCACGGCATGAAGACTGATGGCACTGCACCAGCTTCAGGCACAAGGCAAAAGCGCAGCGCCTCCACAAGAGGAGGCTGGATTCAAGCCGAGAGGCACTATGATCACCATGCATCATGCACGCACGGCATGCCTTTTGTGGTGCCAATCCTGCAGGAGTCATCCTCCGGTTATTACAGCTACTACAGCATGGCGCTCAGCAGGGCGTGTGACTGGTTGTGCGTGATGATGCGTGTATCTTGATAAGGGCATCTCAATCTAGCCCAGGATGAAGTGATATGGAGGGGCCAACTCTATTTTTTATCCAAGGTGGAGACGACTCGCAAGAGTCTGACAGCCAAAGAGGCTGGGGGCAGAAGGGCCATTGATGGGTTTGGCTTCAACGTCAGCAGACCGCAATGCTGAATTTCAGGCGCTCAAGCAAAGGCAGCCAGAAGAAACAACGATGGCACGAGAGGGCCAACTGGCGAAGATCCTGCGAGCACTGCTCATAAGCACAAGGACATGATCAGCTGCATGAATGTAACGCTACAGTGCAGTTGCATTCCAGCTATTTTACTTGGGGCTGCCCTATGATTGTAGCCACGCTGGGAACGCCAGAATTAGCGAGTCCCAAAAGCTCCGGCATTGCCTTGCAGCTGCAAGGAGAAGACCAGAGGTGGAGCCCAAACATTACGTAAAGCTGTGGCAGCAAAAAATGCAGCCAGCGTCGCAGCATTCCAACTGGAAGCAATAATCCCCAAGCACTGACAGGGAAGTGGAACTGATCTATTTCGACTTCAGAACGGGTCACTGAACTTGCTTGCCTAGGCTAAATGCCGGACAGACTCTCAACCGATGGGGGAGGCAATCCACACCAACCACGGCATGAAGACTGATGGCACTGCACCAGCTTCAGGCACAAGGCAAAAGCGTAGCGCCTCAACAAGAGGAGGCTGGATTCAAGCAGAGAGGCACTATGATCACCATGCATCATGCTCGCACGGCATGCCTTTTGCGGTGTCAATCCTGCAGGAGTCATCCTCCGACTACAGCATGGCGCTCAGCAGGGTGTGTTGTTTCGTGTCCGGTTGTGCATGATGCACGGCGCGTGCCTTGGCGAGGGCGTGAGCATCCTTTTTAATGTCCAAGGTGGAGATGACTCGCAAGAGTCTGACAGCCAAAGAGGCTGGGGGCAGAAGGGCCGTTGATGGGATTAGCTTCAGCTGAGTCAGCGGACTGCAATGTTGTTCTTGGAGGCACTCAAGCAAATGCAGCCACAAGAAGCAACGATGGCACGAAAGAGCCAGATGACGAAGATGGCGCGAGCACTGCTCATAAGCAGAAGGACACGATCAGTTGCATGCATGTCGTACTGCAGTGCGGTTGCATTCCAGGTAGTTTGCCTAGGGCTGTTGAATGTTGAGCAAATGAGTCAGGTCTTAGACATTGAGACGAACATCATGCGTGTTCAGCAAGTATGATTTTGAAGCTGAAAGGAGAAGGCACAAAGTGAAGCCCAGGCAACATACAAAGTTATGGAAGCCAAAGGCGTGCCAGTGAGCCGCCAAGCATATGGTCTGCTTTAGATAAACTTTAGAGCTGGCCACGGAGCTCGGAAGGGTGTTGTGCTTGCCCAGGCCCAATTTCAGAGAGCTTGCCAAGCGACGGGGGCAATGCAGGCTAACCATGGTGTTCATACAGATCGCGTTGCACTTGACCAGCTACAGGCGCAAGGCACGAGCACTGCGCCTCAGCAAAAGGAGGCCGGATTCAAGCAGAGTTGCTGTGCACGCATGGCATGAAATCCTGCAGGAGGGCGAAGAAAGCGATGCGCTTGGGAGTGTTGTTTCAATTCTTTGGATCGTGTTCCCGGTGCACATTTCCTTGCTTGACACATTCAGTTGATAGTTGAGTCTAAACTCAAGTTTTGAGCGAAAACCAAGGTGCAGAAGGCTCTCAGGAGTCCTCCAGTGAGCGTGCAGCCTAGACGCACATTAACTTTGTTCGCAAGGGTGGTGCTCTCCTGCCCAGGTCAGAGTCAGCATCACCACAGAAAGATGAAAAGCAATCATGAGGAAAACATACTTAATAATGCTGAATGCGTGCCTTTGGATTTCAGCCATGCTCCCTGCCAGCCGATGGCCACAGCAACTCCAGCTTGGTAACATAATTAAGAACTCTGTATCAAGAACAAGCTTGTGCACAAAAGCAGATATTTGGAAAATGGGGTACTGTAGGGATCCCACGCGCTGCTCGCAGGGCCCCCCGGGATTTTGCGCAAGGTAGGGGGTCGATGCAAGGGTTGGTGGACTGGTAGCTCGACACTTAGTTGCGTTTCTGTTGCGAAAGGGGCTCAAACTTTCAAAGTTCGTGGGCGTGGGGATTTGCTGTGCAAGCCAATGCTGGCACAAATTTATACAAATTTCCTTTGGTGGCCTTGCGCAAACATATCTAAGCCGCGGCCTTACGCCAAGATATATAAGCCCGCCAAGTTGTGGCTTCCGACATTTCCCCAAAACTCTCGACTCAACTCAAAACTTGAAGAGAAAGCTAATATTAGCCCGCAACTCACAGCTAGGTGCCATCGAGCACGCCAAAGTTAATTTCCGGGAAATTTCGGAAAACGAGAGACGAGAGACGCGCGTGCAGAGTCGCGAATCAAGAGTCGCACACAAGTTAAGAGTCGAGCGTGGCAATCGGGGGGGCAAGCTGCGAGAATGGGAAGGGGGGATTTTGGAGGGAATTTTGATATGTGTCTAGGGGAATTGATTGGATCGGCTTTGTGAAAGGGGGAGTTTGACTGGTTTCTAGAGGGGATGGGAAGTTGACTGGCTTCTAGAGCGTTGGGGATGGGCAATTGAACCGTTTCTATCGGTGATGTGATCGGTTTTTAGGCTGCTTTTTCTTTGTTTTCTCCGGTTTTTAGAGGGGATTTGATCGTTTTCTAAATAATCGTGTAAAGGGGATTTGACCGGTTTTTAGAGGGAATTAACCGGAGTTGCATCGATTTTGAGGGTGATTGTATTGGTTGTTGAGGGGGGGCGTAAGATGTTTTTCTTGAAGAGATGCGACTGCTTGCGGATTGGAATTAGCTGGAGCAGGGATGTTGGCTGCGCGACATGGGGTCGGGCGGGGAGGGGTTGGATCGACTAATTGGGGAAATTAGGGTGTTGGAGGATTCTGTGACCTTGGAAGCCGACGAATTGATATGTAAAACAATATATATATATATTTAATTATTTTTTAAATTGAAATAATTGATTAATTAATTGATAATAAAAAAACATAATAATTTGATATTTAGATGTTTTAATATATAAATAATATAATTAATTATATTTATTTATTATTTTAATACTATTTTAGGATTATATATTATTAAAATATAATTTAAAAAATATTATAAATATTATAATAAATAAAATAAACATAAATACAATAATTTTAAAAGTTAAGTATATTAATATAATAAAAGGTATTGAATAAATAATAAAAATTAGATAAATATAATTTATTATAAATATTTTTCTTTTGATATAATGATATTTTATTATAACTAATTCGAATATGAATATATTTAAAACATAAAATTAGAAAGGCTAATTTAAAAATGAAAAATAATATATAAACAATAAAATACATAATAAGGAATTTATTTTTTTTAAAAAATATATAAAATAATTAAAATGAAATATATTTAGAATATTTTAATAATTAATATAGAATTATGGTATTTAAAATATATTAAATAGTTGTTGTATGGGGTGTATTTTCTTTTTTAGTGAGCCTCTCTTTATTTATTTATTTTTTTTATTATTTATATATATGTAATATTCGATAATTTTTTTGTAAGGATTATGCGTTTTAAGAATCGCTTTCGTTGTGGCGCCGTATGAATGTGGAAAAGTGCTCGTCGAGCTCTTTATAGGTGTGCTTAAGCGCTCTCGCTATGGCGTCGTACGAATTCGTAATATATTTTATGAATCTTCTGCGAATATAAACTTACAATGGGGAAGAATTTTTCGTATTCGAAAAATTATATATATAATTACAATATTAATATTATATATATATAGAAGAACAAAAAATAACACATTACAAGTTCGCATGGCGCCACAGCGAAAGTGCTTGGGCATATAGGATCTTTATAGAGGATGCATAAGATGTTTGTTTTGTTTTTTTTATATGATATCACAACGAATTTGGAGGCTCAGGTAGTATATTTGGTCTGACACGAAAAAACAAATTTTTCGGAGTTAGCGCTTTTTGCACCAAAAACAGTCAATTATCACGATGACATTTATGGCCCAGAGGTACATGAGGTAGGTTCTCATGTAGTCAGTTGCATGTTGTACATTCAAGTGGTTGCCAAAGCATGATCCAATCACTGCTTTGGCTCAAGTGCTGAAAACAGCGCGTTGCACCGCGCTAGCCCCAAGGTTAAGGGAGAGGTCGCAGTCACGGAGGGGTTCGTTCCTTTTAAGGTCCCGGGTTCCCCCGTTGTTGACAAAACTGTGTTTCCCTCTCCTTTGAGTGGTTATCAGCCGTAACGCTTTTCGGGTAAACGAACCCTTCCGTGACTGCGACCTGTTGGTCGCACATGGAAGTCGGCCCTCACCGCGGCACACGCGGTGGGAAAGGGCCGCGTGCCCGATTGTACAACACTCTGCAACAGATCGTCGTCGACGAGTACAAGCGGCAGAACAGACGATTCCGGTGGATCAGGTTTTCGGACGCCTCGAAGCAACAGGTCGAGGCGCTCTTCTCCTGGCGTGAGTCACTGGATAGCTGGCACCTGTGGAATTTTGACCAAGAAGCCTTCGACGTGATCCAGGCCGCGGACAACGCTTATCAGCAGCGTCTCGCATTGGTTGAAACCGCAGGAGTGGTCTTGCCGCAGGGCGTGCCATCTCAGGATCAAGCCGCAGCCTCAGGCGCGGCGGGAGCATCGAGCAGTGCAGCGGACTGGCTTCGTCCTCCGACGCCTCCATCAGCTTCCTCCTGGTTGCAAGATTCGCGCACTCCTTTGCCTCGCATTCGGCCATCTGCAGAGGAAAGACAAGCCGCAAAGTCAACTCTTCGCGGGGTATACGCTAAAGCTGCGGAAACGCGGCGGGAGAGCAGCAGGGAGCGATCAACACAAAGATCGAGGTCCCCATCGCCAAGAAGGTCGAGGTCTCCATCAGCATCACCGAGACGAGGACCAACTGCTGCTGCCCCTGTGGAACCACGGGCCCATAGTGTTGAACCCGCGCTTGCGCGGGAGGGAAGGCCATCCAGAACTTCCCTAGCCACTCGGCCCATTGTTTTGGCTCCACAGAATAGCATTTACCCTGTGACGAGGTTTGACGAACACGGTACCTGGGTATTGGTGCGGGAGGCATCACAACCACGTGAAGCGGCTCCTCGTCGGCGAGCGCAACGGACGTCTGGGCAGCTTCGCCAAGCCGATCCTTACCTCCTCGCTGACGAGACGTGGAGGGACCCGCCAAGGAGGTCCTCCACGAGCTCACGCTCACGGTCTCCTGACCGCCGCCCGGCGCCTGCGGAAACCTTCCGCCTCGACGCCTACAGCTCGGACGAGGACCCACCGCAAAACTTGGAGTCCATCAGGACGGGCAGGGCAGCATACGTGCCTCGGCGCGTTTACGAGGCGCCGACTCACTCCGAGCCCATCGCGCTTCACAGCCGAAGAATCGGGGCAGTTCAACCGCCGCCCCCAAAGGCCGCTCCCAAGGTCATCTTCGGCAGCAAGCCACCGTTGCCCAAGGAGGTCCCCAAGGCAGTTTCTCCAGCGCCTGCAAAGGCAGACATCCCGAGGAAGTCACCGCCAAGGGCCAGATCTCCGGTTCGGACTCAGAGTGCATTCGGGTACAAGGCACCTCCGCGAGGCTTGAACAAGGCCGAACCCAGAAGCAAATCGAGCTCAAACCCGCCACAATTCGGGTACATCGTCAAGCCGCCGCCTCCGCAGGTCGTTCAAGCAGCTGCTGCTAGCGCTGCAACTCCTGAAGCTGGCACGCGATTCCGCTCGCCACCAAGGAGGGCACCGCCTGCGCCCCCGCCGCCGCCACCTCCGCCTGGAAGGCCGGTGCCGCCCAAGGAGCTTGTTGTTGCTCTTGACTGGCACGGAGTTCTTGACGTTGGGCAGCAGGGACCCCACCTCAACCCGGAAGTGATCCGACATCTCGTTCAGTTTGCAGCGGACTACGCACCTATAAATTTTATAGTGCTATCCTTCGTGGGCAGGGCTGCAAGCGAGTATCGCCGCCGCGAATTTCAGGTCGCCCTGGAGCACGCGCGGGCAACATCTGGACTCACTTTTTCTGCGATAAAAATCGTTCACGAACGGTTGGGAAGGGGAGGCAAAGCAGACGCCCTGCAAGGGCTGGGCGTACACGCCCTTATTGACGATACAGCATCGATTGTCCGTGAAGCTCAAAAGACAGGCATCGCGGCGTTCCGCAACTTTCCGCACTTCGGTCCGAGCGGATTTGCCAACGCGCTTGAGAACCTTGGTGAGTTCATCGAGTCCCGGAACAGACAATCCATTCCGGCGGCAAGGGGCCTGCATCCATCGCAGTACCTCGAGGAGATCCACCGATCTGCATCCCAGCTGCCCGCCAGCCGGGTACTTCGATAGCCATTGCTGCAAGCCGTTAAAACCGTCGCTTTGCGCGGTACAGCGTTTGCAATTACAAGCTTTCGATTTGCAGACAAATTCTCAATACAGCTTGGCAACATCCCTCGATAAAGCACCATAGTGCGGCAGTGCGGATCAATCAATCTACAAGTACAATTACAAATACAGAATTCATCAGGTGCAAAGCAGCAGGGCGTATTTTCTTGAGTGGCTCACTTGAGCGTTTCGCAACGTATTTTCTTGAGTGGCTCACTTGAGCGTGTCGCAATCAGCTGCCAATCCAGGGATATCTCCTCGTGGCACCTTTTGACACGCTGCTCAAAGCGCGTGGAGCTAGCTTCGTGTGAGTGCAAAAGTTGCATTGCTGTGTCATGGCTTCAACGGGTTTGTCACCGCCATCAGAACCCCGTTCAAGGTCAACCCCAAATAGG